ATTATTTATTCTCTATCACGGCCAGATAAAATTTATTTGATCAACTTTTTCAATTTGTCCTCTCAGTTCACTAAACCTCTGTGTTGACAGTATAATTTCTTTTACCTTTAATACAAGATACCTTCTCTAACTTTATCGACAGCAAGTAGTTTTTTCAAAGTGTTGATCGCTTTCTCTCATATGTCTCTGCAACTCCTTATCATAACATGCAAGTTAGTTTTCGGCAATTTCTACCTCAACTATAACAACTAGATAGCCTACTAACTCACACCTTTTCTTTGCCATCTGTATTGTAATTTTAGGTTTGGTATAGTAATTTACTTTTTCTAAAAATTCCTGTTTTTTCTAACAGATTTTACTATGTTATTCGAACCTTTTTCGTTGGCATATGCTTTATAGAATTTTATTTCCTTTTTTTCTGTTTTGCTTTTTTGACTCTCATTAAAAATTGACTCCATAATTTGATTTCTTTTTCCACGACAGTTATTGTCGGAACATCTTTTTGCTTTGTAGTTAAAAGTATTCTGTCTTACTCTTTTTTTAACAACTCCTCATCAATGTCATTTCAACATTTCCTGAACAAATGAATAGGTTTTTGAGTCATTTTAGCGACACTGTTATTTACCTTTCAACTGACTTTGGCATTTAGCAAAAAATAAAGCCTTTTCCCAACTTTTTCAGACAATAATCTAAAAAAAAATTTGTTACTAAACTTATCTATTCTACAGCTATCTCTTTGAAGATATTTGTGGCAGTAGGTAAAAAATGGATTGTGAAATGTAAGGTACGGTAAAACCGACTATTCAATCATAAGAACTATCATCTTTAATTTTTTACATGAATAAATAGCACATAAGATTCAGTTACTTGGAAAAACTAATGATGATTAATAAATCAGAAATCAATAAAAAGCAGTTTTGGTAGTTGAAATACTTTTTTTTTTTTTAATAAAATATATGCATTTGTTCAAAAGTATATATATATATATGCAGACGAAAAAAAAAAAAAACCAGTGCATTCATATGCTGGTTTACAAAAGCAAAAACTTGCGCAAAAAGGCTATTTGGAAAACCATGAATACATCAAATCTAAGGGGTATTACATTGTCAGCGATGTTATTTAAACTACTTTTTACCATTAATTTCGAAGTCGAACCATTATTCGTTTCGCGAACACTAAAAACGGCTTCTCAGCGTTGGTATTGTTACAGCAAGGTGGCTGAAAAATGGCTGCAGCGTTCGCGCAGTTGAAACTACTGTTATGGAAGAATTTTCGTCAACAGTTACGTTCTCCAGGATTTACAATGCTTGAAATCTGTATACCACTGTTGCTGGTCTGCTTCAGTTTTGCACTCTTACTTTGGGTTTGTTTCAATCAACAGCTCTTTTATAAACTCAAACCCTGTTCTTTTTTTTTTTTTTCTTAAAGTATTTTTCATAAAATGAAGAAAAAAATTAGTATCTACTAACAAAAACTCCACCTGACATTATAAAAAAAAAAAGAATAATTTTTGTGAAAAGTTTCTAGCAAACTTGGATAATTCTTTTCAAAAAAAAAAAAACAATTGCTGTCGTTGTTACGTTTATACAAGCCGAAAAATATTCAATGTCTTATACTGGTATGTCGGTGAAATCAGTTAGAAGCGAATTAACGATGTATAAGATAAACCGCAAAATTTAGCCTTTCAAAGTTTTATCGTTTTATAATCAAAAAATTAATTGTAATAATACACGTAAACAAACAACTTTTAGAAGAGCTGAAACTTAGTTCAGATAAACCCTGAGAATACCACAACAGATATAGATGCAAACAGCTTTATTCTAGTTTTTATTTACTGATCTGCAGTTCGATTCTCTTATACCGTTTTTTTTTTT